CCCCAAAACCCCAAAACCCCAAAACCCCATCATATTAAATATTGTTATAAAAAGCTATAATAAAAATGAATTTTAATTCAGGCAGAAATTTTTTCAAGAAGACCTTTACTTAGTAAAGATTTTAAACCGCTTTAATTATTTTGCAGAGGTCAAAAGAAATACTTTTAAACTTATTAAAAGGCTAGGACTTAATCAAATCTTAGAATGAGTTAATCTCTTGGTTTTAATTTCGCTACGCTTGTTAGAAGTAATTAGATGATGTAATGATTATGATTTAAATCGAATTAATACTTATTAGGTTCCGCTATCAATTACTAGTTACTTAGATACAATCCAATCAATTATTAAGCTTAGGAATGCAATAGTCTGTAACTACAAATTAGGATGATGATGATGAGAGCTCACTAGAGGAGACTGGTAAATTTTAATAAGTTAATCATTGATATTTAGAACAAGAAGAAGATGATGTGTAAGTTAAAACAAAAATATTGAATATATAGAATTAATAGATTGCTTAGTCTTCTAACAAGGAATCTGCCAGCATAGAATAGAGGTAGATAGTTCAGCATTTGATCCATAGTATTCAAGCTAGAATGAGAAAGATGAAAATACTGCTATTTGAGATTGGGAATGAATTAAAAGAAAGCTTTGAACTTTCATTATAAATGAATAAAAATTAAAACTAACCGCATATTTATAAAAGTTAATCATTTTAAAATTTAAAGATAAATGGCATCAAGGACTTAGAGATTCATGCAAATATTTGGCTCTGCATTTTACTACTATAATTATGCTGGAGTGCTTATTGGAGCTTTTACCTTCCTTAATCAATCATAAGATCGCAAGAATGTAAGTTATATTTGAATGGTGTATAATATAAGAATACTCTGATATTGTTTTCAAATATCAATAACATTTATAGTACTTTTTGCTAAACGCCTTGAAGCATTTTATTTTCATGGGGAATTCATATTTCATTTTTATGTAAAAACTCAAGGGATTTGATCACACTCTTCTGTTGTTCCTTAATGATACAGCTGCATTCTTGTGCTGTGCACCAGCTTATTCAATCTACAGCTATGCTTTATTGAAAGCTAAGTATGAAAATTATAGGTCTGTTTCTATAGAAACTGATTAATAGATGCAATAAACCTCAATAGCTACTTAAGATGATAAAAATTAAAATAGTCTCGATTAGCTTTTAGAACAAAAAAGAGAGGAGTACATTTAGAAGTTATTGCAAAAGGAGGAAAATGATAAACTAAATGAGAGTGAAATAGATGTGAGATAAAATAATATCTTTTAAGATATTAGGCAATGGTATTATGAATAAAACAAGCCTGTTGCCTAGACTGTAGAATTAAGTGGTTATGGACTGCTAGCTGCTAATCTCTTATATATAATAAAACTTAGGTATAGAAAATGAGACATAAGAAGACTAAATGAAAATCAGAATGAATTTGAAAGTATTGTAATTAAGATTAACTTTTTATATCTTTAAAAATATAAATTTATCGAGAATATTAAGTTATGGGGTTTTGGGGTTTTGGGGTTT